ATCTAGGATTTTGTTGTGGGGGGTGACATCAGAACAAATTTTTGTGTTGCATACTTTTTGAATACCAAAATTCCTTCAATTTTTTACCTGAGTGGGGGGTGATATATCACCCATATCACCCCCCGTGGATCCGCGCATGCAACCAGTGCTGCCATTTTGTCCTCTTTCCGGACAGATCTGTCCTTTTTTTAACGGCTTTATCCGGAAAAAATTTCAAACATCCCCTATCCGGAAATCTATACTTTTTAAAAAAAAAAAAGGTTTTGAGTGTTATTTTTGATAGTCGAAAGTGTATAAGCCTGTTTTTATACCCTTGCAGAGGGTATTATAATTTTGGTCAGAAGTTTGTAACGCAGTGAAGGAGACGTTTCCGACCCCATAAAGTATATATATTCTTGATCAGGATCAATAGGGGAGTCGATATAGCCATGTCCGTCTGTCCGTCTGTCCGTCTGTCCGTCTGTCCGTCTGTCCGTCTGTCCGTCTGTTTCAATACCGTTTGCGAGCTCAGTTTAAAAGCTAGCGCCTTGAAACTTTCACAGTCGTCCTAAAACATGTGTACGCAGATCAAGTTTGAAAGCCGACCCGATCGGACGTCTATATCCTATAGCTCCCATAGGAACAATCGGATATAGCTTTCACAAAAATGAAGATATTTCGCTCAGTGTAAGAGCTATTGGCATGAATCTTTCCAAATCGTATTTTTTTGTGCGTACCTTGATCAGGGTAAAACCGCGTGCCGATCGGACGCCTATATCTTATAGCTCCCATAGGAACAATAGGGTGAAATCGGTCAAAATTTGACGTTTTTCAGGATATTTCGCGCAAAATATTAGCTATTCCCATGAAACTTTCCAAATCGTATTTTTTTGTGCGTACCTTGATCAGGGTAAACGCGCGTGCCGATCGGGCGTCTATATCCTATAGCTCCCATAGGAACAATAGGGTGAAAAATTTTAAAATTGTATTTTTTCAATTATAAAATATTGTGTTGTTTATTAATTCATGTTGCTAGTCTAGTCAAGTTTTAATTCGTAAAATCTGCAAGGGTATTAAAACTTCGGCTTGCCGAAGTTAGCTTCCGTCCTCGTTATTTGCTAAAATGCCTTTTTAACCATCATTCTTACAGTTCGGCACTTAAAAAATAATTCTTTTTACAAATTATCAAAGAGACGTAAAGCAGTCGATGGATTTTCTTTATAGTACGATTTTTTCTGTAGCAAAAAAAAAGAGGAAAGCACTTTTAAAATTTCTTAATTTTTACTCTCTGCTTTTTTGTCAGAAAAAAAATTAAGATTTGAACGACTCTTTTTCGGGTTTGACGCAGATATTTAATTTTTTTGTATTACGAATATAGTTACTTGAAAGGCATTAATTATTATAATAATTTTAGATTATTACGTATACGCACAAAAATTTACCATGGTAAAATGATCAAACAAAGAAGGTTGTGAGTCGGGCGCAGTAGATCATTACATAATTAAATTTTATTTAAAATCCATTTATATTAAGTAAATATAACCCATTGGTAAAAACAGAAAAATGTAGGCACATTTACTTTTGTCCTTTTTTTTGTCCTTTTCTTAAATTTGTTGTCCTTTTTTTCCCTGTTTTTTTGTGGCTTATCTGTCCTGTTTTTCAAGCTTTTACCCTGGGCCCCCATTTTTCCCTCGAGTCAACGGGGGAGCAACAAAGCTGACACCCTTTGCTAATCTGTTATTTATCATACTTGGCCATATCCTTGGCGCGAGCTCCTTTCACTTCCTCCCAGGCCTTGTGTGTGTGTTCGTTGGCACTTACGCTTTTTTCCTTCAGCTGATTCCCTTTGGCCCTTCGACTTAGCCTTCAACTTAGGCTAGTAGTTTTGCCTGCTGATTTTCCTTTAGCAATAAGCGAGGCGGGGCCATATAGTTTTTTTCCTCCATGTTCTACTACTCTATTTTTTTTACACAAGAACAAAATACTGGGGTTAAAAAGCATTAAAAATATTCAAAGGCAATAAATAGAAGGAAAACTTGAATTTAGAGCTTCAATAATTCGCAGACCTCTGAATCGTCAGTAGTCAGTAATTTAGCCGGAGGCTAGAAAAAGTAAAGGAGAAAATTGCATCACTATGGACGGCAGTCCATGTAGTGACGAAGCGCACCAGGAGAGTGTGCGAAGGCGACTACTATTATATAGCCGCAAAATTGAAAATCTGCTGTGAGAGTCCGATCGCAATGAGTAATACATCAATCGAAAGGTATTTTAAAAACTTAAAGGATTGCATACCAAGACTTTAAGAAAATCAATTGGCTTGGGAGAGAGAGCGGTGAAAGTGAAAAAGTGCAAGTTTCGAAATTTGGAGCTGTTGGGGCCGGTGGGGATAAATGCCCCTTCGCAATGTTTTAGTTGTATTCCTTTTGAAAATACCCGTCGAATGAGGGGTCAATCCGACGCTCCGTTCAAAAGTTATAGCCAAAATAAAATTTTCTTCGTCTTCCCAAAATGAAAATTTAATTCTGTTTGTCAGTTTGTCAGTTTGTCAGTTTGTCAGTTTGTCAGTTTGTCAGTTTGTCCAAAACATGTTTTTTAAGTTTTGAAAATTTGATATGACGTTCATCACATCGATATAAACAACTTTTGTTCTACCACTTTTGGAAAAACCCGCTAGTTTAGCGGGAAAACAGCTATAAATAGCTAAAATTCGGAAAGCCGTAACTTCTATACTACTAAAGCTACAGACTTGTGCTGCATCTCGTTTGAAAGGTATTTTTAAATGCTATAAACACCTTTTACATGCAATTTGTGTAAATGTAATAGTTAAAAAGATATGAACAAAGGACAATTTTTTAAAACTTTTTTTTTAGCTTTTTCTTATTTTTTTCAAAAACGGCTCTAACGATTTTTTTTAAAACTTTAACCTGTATAGCCCTTGAGATTTCTTAAACTTTGGTATATAACACATTTCTGTAAAAAGTCACTTTTTAAATTATTTTTATACGCAAATAGCAACTTTTGCGAGCTTGAACTACTAACGCTTCCTGAGTATTGAATTTTGTGTGAGGATAATGGAATCAGTAAATTTGCACTTAAGAGTTCCAGATAGGAATCTTTTGTTCTACGACTTTTGGAAAAAGCCGCTCCTTTAGCGGGAAAAAGCTAAAAATAGCTACATTTCGTTAGTTTGTAAGTTCTATACTACTAAAGGTACAAACATGTGCTATACCTCGTTTAAAAGGTATTTTGAAATACTTCAACGCCTTTTTAACTTAATTTGTTAAAATACAATAGTTTAAAAATTATGATTTATGACCAATTTAAATTTAAATGTTTATATTAGCACCCATGAGAGCAAAAGTAAAAAAACAAAAACTTCTGATATCAAATAAAAACACCTCTTAACGAGGTAAAAAACTAGTGACGATCGCACCTTCAACGTACAAAAGTTCTGATATCAACTTTTGTGACGAAAAATGATTTTAGATGCGACTAAATAAGTACGCTACCTAAAATTTATTCATTCGGCACGCTACAACAGAAAACTTTCGTGTAGATATTAAAAAATATGTTTTAAAATCAATGTCGTACATTTAAAGAAAAAACTGGAACACAATTTTTTTGTTGATGTACAAATTTGTCTTATTTTAATGGCGATTATTTTCTAGGCTCAGAAAAATTAAGTCGTTTTTTTGAAATCAATTTAATTATTTTTCTAAATTATAGTAAATTTTTTCTCTTTACAGATCTTTGTTTCTAAAAAACAAAACAACTTTTTTTTTCGATCTATAAAAAATTATAACTTAAGTGTAACTGACTAACTAACTATATAGAAGGAAAAAAAGTACAGAAAATTATTCCTTAAAGAAGCACCTTTAAGTGTGTTTGTGTACTGATTCACCAAAGCCGATAGGTACTCTAGATAAGTGCTTAAAGACATAAAATATTCCATGATCTAATTATAATTATAAGAACGTGGGCTTAGGCAAACACTGTAAACTTGACACATAATCGAATTAATTCTGAATCTATTTTTGCCCAGCTTCCGCACACTCATCTTCAAAAAGTTGAAGCCTGCGTGAGACTTTTAGACTGCTTACCCTATACCATACACAAATCAGGGTATATTCTTTATTATAAGCGGAATGTTCATTCAAATATTAGCAAAAAAAAGAATCTAGGTAAAATAAATGCATCTTTATTATTGAAAGTGAAAGTATTTTTCCGGACTTAGTTTTAATATCCTTTATTCAATATTCTTATTGAAATATAAAAAAAATTTTTGAAAATGGATTAATTTATTTGTTTTTATTGTTTCACTTCCTTAGATATGATCGGAATAAATTTTAGATTTTCCAAAAGTATATTCGATTGTTTTGTTTCAGGTTTTCATTCAGTCTTTGACATACAATCGGCTTCGAGAGTCAGAGATCTATTGTTTCGGCATTGAGATCGGTGATTTATTTCCGCAATTTGATTGCCTTTTTCGGCAGTCATTTCGCTTTTTCACTACCAACTGTTTTATTTGGCCTTTTCTCCGCTCCGCTATCGAACATCTGCTTTTATTACCCCGGGAGTCATAGAACCCGGTTACCACCAGTTGAGTTGATTAAGCCACAATATAATTATCGAGATAATTAAGCAAATTGAGCCGGGAATGGAATGGATCAGAATCGGCACGCGTTTCGCCTGGGAGAAATTGGCGAGTGCTGGGTTGGGGGGAACAATGGAACCTGATTTTGGATCTTAACCACTAAAAGTATTAACGAAATATATTAAAAAAATTATAAGTGGACGATTTGGCCGGGGGAAAAGGGGGGGAAGTCCCCAAAAAAACATTCGCAAAACCCGTTGCAAACCTGATTGCAAAACTATAATGGATATGTTTTTGGCGGCGTTGTCACTAAATACAAATTCATAAATTATATAGCCAAATGCAAATTTCCTGGCCGCAGGCCCCGGTGATTAGAATCATATAAATAAGCGGCAGAATATGCTAAAAGGCATCACTTCCACTTGCACTCTCCAACTGGACAGCCGAGCAACCAGCAAAATGGTACTAACCATTCATCAGGATTCACAAGGATAATTTCATTAACTTGTAAATATTTTATTTACCTAATTCACAGAAATTCTTCTTGTTCTGCGCCTTCATTGCCGCCGTGGCCGCCGATGTCAGCCATCTGCCCTCGAGCCAGTACCTGCCCCCCAGCCATGGAGCCGCCTCTGCCCCAGTGGCCTCCTACTCGGCGCCCAGCTACAACGTAGAGGCCTCGGCACCAGTTGCCTCCTACTCGGCTCCTGCTGAGTCCAGCTACTCGGTGGCTGCCTCTGCCCCGGCTGTGTCCTATGCTGCCCCAGCTGCCTCTTACTCCGCCCCAGCTGCCACCTACACCGCTGCCGCTTCTGCCCCAGCTGTGTCCTATGCCGCCCCCGCTGCCACCTACACTGCTGCTGCATCTGCTCCATCTGTGTCCTATGCCGCCCCAGCTGCCTCCTACTCCGCCCCAGCACAGACTTACACCGCTGCTGCCTCGGCTCCATCTGTGTCCTATGCTGCTCCTGCCCAGAGCTACTCTGCTCCTGCTGCCACCTACACCGCTGCCGCTTCTGCCCCAGCTGCCTCCTACTCCGCCCCAGCTGCCTCCTTCGCCTCGGAGAGCTACGAGACTGCCGCCTCTGAGCCCGCCCACACCTTCTCGGCCAACGATGGCTACCGCTACAAGACCCAGCGTCGCGTGGTCCTCCGTCGTCATCGTCGTGGTGCTCCCTCCAACGACTACCTGCCCCCCTTCGCCGGAGCTGCCTCTGCCCCAAGCAGTGAGTACCTGCCCCCAGCAGCCTCTGCCCCCGCTCCAGTGTACTCCGCCCCCGCCCAGAGCTACTCCGTTGCCGCCTCTGCTCCAGCTGTGTCTTATGCTGCTCCCGCTCAGAGCTACTCTTCTCCTGCCCAGACTTACACCGCTGCTGCTTCTGCCCCAGCTGCCTCTTACTCCGCCCCCGCTGAGAGCTACGAGACCGCCGCCTCTGCCCCAGCCCACTCCTTCTCCTCCAACGATGGATACCGCTACAGGACCCAGAAGCGTGTGGTGCTCCGTCGTCACCGTCGTGATGTGAGCCACCTGCCCTCCAACGACTACCTGCCCCCAGCAGCCTCTGCCCCAGCACCAGTGTACTCCGCCCCCGCTCAGACTTACTCCGCTGCTGCTTCTGCCCCAGCTGTGTCCTATGCTGCTCCTGCCCAGAGCTACTCCGCTCCTGCCGCCCAGAGCTACTCCGCCCCCCGAGTTCTACACCGGAGCTGCCTCCGCCCCAGCTGCCTCCTACTCTGCCCCCGCTGAGAGCTACGAGACCGCCGCCTCTGAGCCCGCCCACTCCTTCTCCTCCAACGATGGTTACCGCTACAAGACACAGCGTCGCGTGGTCCTCCGTCGTCACCGTTACTAGAGGCTCCTACGACAGACCCCTAAAAATGGGAAGAAAACCCCATCAAATCCTGTTATTTGACTCTGGGTTTTTTCCCCGAAGGGGTAACGAAATTTTGAGAAAGTCATAAATAATAAAAATATTGAAAAATAATCCCCAACTGCCTTATTTAATATTCGGAGAACAGGAAACACGGATGCTGGTAGCACACTTATTTGTTTAACAATCATATTGCATAATAAAGTAAAAAGCTTAGGCCATTAAAGTTAGAGATTATTAGGCATTATGCTCGGCTGTCGTCAAGCGGAGACTTTTGACTGTCCACAGCAGCTGAAAAAACTAGTTCAGTCCGAGATGCGGAAACGAGTTTAATCATCCGAAATTAATTTTTTGTTCAACAAGTGCATTGTCGTCTCAAGTTCAAAGTCAACGCTTACTTTTTCGCTTACAATTGTAGAATACTTTTCGGCTGGGGAGATCCAAATCCAAAATATTTAATACCTTTACCAAAATAGGACAAATAAAAACTTTAAGTCTTTCTTGAATTTTTTGGATCTTTAAGTTTCATCCAGAATTGTTTTGTAAGTAAACCAGAATTGTTACACATTGCTATGATTTACATCCAAACATTTTATTTAAATTTTAGAAAGCTTAGGTCATTTAAGCTGAAGATTATTAAGTATAAAAGTCACCAGCTGAAGATACTCCCTTTATTGATTTAAAATACATTTTGGTTTAAGTTTTCAACTTAATCTTTTAAGACTAGACTAAAATAACTTATTGCATACTTATTTGATCCTAACTATATTATACTTTCTGGCTGGAGTGTTCGATATACAAACAATATATCATTTTAAGTCTAATAGTATGCTAGTATAACTAAATTCATTCTGGATCGCATATTGTCTAATGGGTATTTTGTATTCAATTAATTTTTAATTTATTTAAATATTAACTTCTGTGTTGCTTAGCAAAGCACCCAGCATTTAAATTTAATTCCTGCATACGCTTACAATCAGTGGGGGGTCCAGAAAATTGTTTGCTGGAGGGTAATTGCTGTGTTGTTTTTCTTCTAATCTTAATTTTCCACAAAAACAAATCCGAATTTTCTCCGAAACCGTGCTCGTATTAAGATTTTTTGGCCATTTTTTCATATAATCGTGATTATAAAAAATTTGATATACATTTCTTTAAATCTACTCAAAACGGTACTTCTTTTAGCTGTGACACTCTTTTTATCGAAATTACAACCAGTAACCATTTAATTGTTGCATACTTTTTGAATACCAATTTCCTTTTACTTCTCCCAATTTTTCGAATTTGTAAACCACATTTCCCCCTTGAACAATTAAAAGAATCCACATAAACATTCACATTGTCGTTTTTAATTCGGCAGCATTACGTAATCGTTAAAACATAAATTTAATAAACATATTTTAATGACTAAGTTCGATTCGAGAGTCCGCAGGCAAGATACCCGGTCCATCATTAAAGATAAGTATTAAATTAAATATTACAGTTAATTACAATTATTCAATTTCGTAGGTTCCTAAGGATCACTATGCGCACACAGAGGCAATTGTGTCATTTAATCAGTGATGAGTGGCCGATCGACGGGATGATTTTCGATATTTATCGATATTTTAGAAGTCGAATGCGACCGCGGGCTTCGGATAGGAATAGCCCTCGGATTTGGGGGCGGGTGGTGGGAATGGAATGACTGGCTTGGGATAGTCGTAGCCCTGTTTCACCTGCACGGGTGGCAGGTACTTGGGGGTGGGTGGACTGGTGGGCACAACGGGGGGCAGGTACTTCTGCGGGGGATTCGTTGGTGGTGGGAAGGGAATGGCGGGTTTGGGATAGTCGTAGCCCTGCTTCACCTGTGGTGGAGGTAGGTATTTGACTGTAGGAGGTGGTGGTGGTGGTGCTTGAGTGGTAGTCACAGGTGGCAGATACTTCTGTGGTGGTGCAGTGGGTGGTGGGAATGGAATGGCGGGTTTGGGATAGTCGTAGCCCTGCTTCACCTGCACAGGTGGCAAGTACTTGGGCGTTGGTGGGTTTGTGGGAGGCAGATACTTGGGCACTGGTGGTGAAGTAGGAACCACTGGTGGCAGGTACTTCTGAGGTGGATTAGTGGGTGGTGGGAATGGAACAGCGGGTTTTGGGTAATCATAACCCGACTTGGGTTGCGGGGGTGGGAGGTACTTGGGCTGTGGAGGGTTTGTTGGCTTCACGGGTGGCAAGTATTTTGGCACTGGTGGACTGGTTGGCACAACAGGTGGCAAATACTTCTGTGGTGGGTTAGTTGGTGGTGGGAATGGAATGGCAGGCTTGGGATAATCATAACCCGACTTTGGTTGCGGGGGTGGCAAGTACTTGGGCTGTGGTGGGTTTGTTGGCTTCACGGGCGGCAGATACTTTGGCACTGGTGGTGAAGTAGGAACAACAGGTGGCAAATATTTCTGTGGTGGGTTAGTCGGTGGTGGGAATGGAATGGCAGGCTTAGGGTAATCGTATCCCTGCTTCACCTGTGGTGGAGGTAGGTACTTAACGGTGGGTGGTGGTGGTGGAGGTGCTTTCGTGGTGGTGACAGGTGGCAAGTACTTCTGTGGTGGTGCGGTGGGTGGTGGGAATGGAATGGCTGGCTTGGGGTAGTCGTATCCCTGCTTCACTTGCACAGGTGGCAGATACTTGGGTGGTGGTGGAGGTGGTGGTGCTTGTGTGGTGGTAACGGGAGGCAGGTACTTCTGTGGTGGTGCAGTTGGTGGTGGGAATGGAATGGCGGGCTTGGGATACTCGTATCCTTGCTTCTTTGGTGGTGGGGGAATGTAAGCGGGAGTGGGTGGGGGAATGTATTTGGGCACAGGTGGACTGGTGGGCACAACGGGTGGAAGGTATTTCTGTGGTGGGTTCGTGGGTGGTGGGAAGGGAATGGCTGGCTTAGGATAATCATAGCCCTGCTTCACCTGCACAGGAGGCAGGTACTTCTTTGTCGGTGGCGGTGGTGGTGGTGGAGCAGGAGTGGTGGTCACTGGTGGCAGGTACTTCTGTGGCGGCGCAGTAGGTGGTGGGAACGGAACGGCTGGCTTGGGGTAGTCGTATCCCTGTTTCACCTGTGGTGGTGGGTTCGTTGGTGGTGGGAATGGAACCACTGGCTTGGGGTAGTCGTATCCCTGCTGCTTCGGCTGTGGGAAGGGAATCGATGGCGTGGGGTAAGCGTATCCCTCGGTCACCCTGATCTGTGGTGGCTGCGTGGGTGGTGGGAACGGAACCACTGGCTTGGGATAGGAGTATCCACTTGATACCAGCTTGGGTTCCTGCGGGATGATCTGCTGAACTGGTGGCGTGTACTTGGGCAGTGGTGGTGGGAACGGAATGGCCGGCTGTGGGTAATCATAGCCACTGCTCACTTTCGGTGCCGGTGGTGGGAAGGGAATGGCTGGCTGGGGATAGGAATACCCATCGCTGAAGGCCACCTTCGGTTTGGGATAGTCGTAACCCTGCAAGAGATTACGATTCAATAAGCTAAGTATCCCCAGATTAATGAGTTATCATCGACTTACCTGGGCCTCAGTCAAGTAGCTCTGGCTTAGGGCGATCAAAGCCAGGCTAAACACACGAAGCTGTTGAAAAGAAGAACAAAGAAAGAGAAGAGATATCGTTTAGTGATTGGCTGTTGAAAACCTTAATGGTCTTAAATCAAATGTCTAAGACATTTATATGTTTATATTTATATATATCTTTAGTCAAAGTGACTGACAATATTTACGTGGGCCTCGGCCGTTTATGGCCATTTTCAGTGCCGTCAGAGCATCGAAAATTTCCGCATATAATTAAGGCTCGACCATTTGGCAAATGGCTGTGTCGGCTTTTGACACCATAGAAGTTTTGGCAAAGAATTCGGCATAGTCCAATTTCGGGTCACGTTCATCGAAGGCTCTCGAATACGCAACGCACATTGTTGATTAACAAGTCGAAAGACGAAATTAAACGCATTTTTGTGCGCTAATTGCCCGCAAGTTGATTGATTATTGGTAGAGGTGGAGCCAATGTGCCTAGAGCAAACCCGCATGTGGTTGCATTAATGGTTTGTTTTTATGAAGTGGTACACAGAAAAAAATCAAAGATTCCTATTTGTATTTAAATGAAATATAAATCGTAATATTTATCGTAATTTCATGATTTAGTTTTTAAACATTTGAGTAAGGTAGAAAATATTAAATGCAATGATTGTCAACCTTACATAAAATATTTAAACTCTTTTTAATTGTTAAATTTAATATGAATAAAATAAAGAAAAAATACGGAAAAATATATAAATAGAATAGGATAGAATTGGATTTAGTAGGTTTCTTTTATCAGTGTAGTGGCACCACTCAGAGTCAAGGTCAGCGCATCTGCCACTCGACATTGAACATTGGCTTTATCGAACCGAGATTCGCATTCGAATGGAATCCAATCTGGACCGCCTAGAAATGTTCTAAATACCAGGCAAGTGTGAATGGCCTCGTGAATAGACAAAAAACACTGGCTGCTTTGATAGCAAAGTCACGCCGACCGGTTCGATAAACCCGAAAAGATGCTAAAATCAAATTAGATGGAAATCCCTCCACTCGCTTGGATTTATGTAAATACAGAAACTAGCAATTTGCCGAGCACTAATTAAGCCATAGATAAGAGACTTAGAGAGAGGTAATATAAACCTTTATCTCCTCCGCAAAAAAGCAGTCTTTGGAACCCGGAATTCCATTTCTCAAATTGAAACACATAAATTTGCCCAAAATAAACCCAAAAAAGATAAACTTAAACGGCTTCTACGAGTGCGCTTCAAGTCAGAAAAGTCGTTAAAGACTGGCCATTAAAATAAAACCTTAATTGAATTGAGACAATGGCAGTAAAAAACCATAAGTTATACAAAAAATTATATAAAAAATGAAACAAAAGCGGCGTCAAATAGCGAGATCATCTCAATCAAATGGAAATAGTTTAAAGCATCCCACGCAATGTTCTTTTGGATTTATGATTCTGTTTCTTTTTTTTGGGTTGAGAGACTCTTTTTTGATAAATGGTTATGGAAAAATGCCACTTGAGAGATACTCAGCGGCTTGTCAGCTGTCGGGCCTTAAATTCTGGCGGATTTGCCAATCTTCTTTCAACTTGTGGCAAGAATCACAATCGCAGCCACCTCAGGAACTCAGAAACTAGTTCTAGCCGCGTATAATTTGGGTTTCGCTTGCGTTATATTAGTTGACAACTCGCGTTGAGATGTGTATGTCCATTAAAGTCAGAACCCAATTAAGTTTCTGTGTTGAAATATTCGTTTTTTATGGCAGTGACGCACGCAGGTGTCGCATAACATGAATAATACTCTCGATTGCTGGGGCGTAATTCTGTTTGTTAATATTCATTTAGAATCAGCCCAAGATGGAAATGATTCTCTTGTTTTTCTCGGTTAATCCAATCTGATACACATCCGTTTTCCTGCTGACCTTAATTGAAAGTTTCATCATACCGAAAATCTACAAGCTCGTAATTAAAGCACCCATTACAAAATACCTGTCCGATTTTGCGGCGTCATCTCGAGTGGCATAATTCTCAATGTATGGTTCGTTTTTGAAGAGTGTGTAAAGTGGGTGAGGTCTACTGCTCGAGGTGCGCCCGCCGCTGGAACTTTTTGTCAGCAGAATCCGAATCTGAATCTCTGCCCTGCTGATCATGTCGAGTCATTTTCCTTGGCTCTTTTTCCCGAACAAAACAAAAAAGCTGACAAAACCTTAGACAATTCGGGGCGACAAATGCCGTGAAACGGGGGGCGTTAATTGTCACAATTGAGGCGTGTGAAATCTCATAAAAAAGAAGAAAAAAAAAACAGAGCCAGCACATCTATTTATATGTAGTGTGACGACCTTGGGGGAAATCAGTTTGGCGCTCGGCGCTTGAAGCTCAGCGTTAATTTTGGTTGCTCAACACTGGTTCTGGGCACCCATTGACTCATTCAAACCCATTTAAACTTATTCGGCGGCAGCCTCAGGCGACTGAAAAGCTTATTGCCAAATCTCGTGGCCCGTTTAGCCGCTCTTGAAATGGCCAAGAACACGCGCATGCGTGAAGAGCACAGTAGCGCAGCCCATCGCTGGGCGGAAAATGGAGGGCGCAGCAGCGGTCGGTTATGAGCACTTCCGGTCGCAATGCCGGAGTCGCCCTCGAGTGAGTCAGTCATTGGCAGCGGACTTGGTTTTGGAGCCGGCGGAATCACTCAATGCAGTTACCATTGCCGCAGATCGACACGGAGAGAAACTTTAGGGTCCCGTCTATCGGTTAGTATATAGATTTTAGATTTCATTTGGGATTATGCATGGTAATTCATTATGTCAAAAATCAAAATAGGAATGTAATTAAAAAATTTAAATTTTATACAGAACAAAAAAGCAATTGTGAAAAGTGTATATCAGAAATATAACTAAATATTTCTAAGGGCTAGTACTCAACCCAACAAAAAGTCGTCCAAAACAAAAAACTTCATATGAAAATAACGTCAAAAAATTTTGTTTCATAAGAAGTTTTTTGTTTTGGACGACTTTTTGTTGGGTTGAGTACTAGCCCTAAGTAAAATATTAAATATTTTATTTTATGAAATTCAAGTTGTCCTCATAGAAATACAAATTGTAATATTTTTGTATTTTAATTTTGATTGGTGTCAATAAACCATATTACTTCATATTACAAGGAAGCCAAGAAAAGATTATAGCTGTTTTCAAAAGATTAAGCTAATTTTGATGGTGAATAATAAAGGAATAATTAAAGGAATAAATAAATTTTATTACATTTTAAATTTAAAAGGTATTAAAAACAATAGGAAAATAATTATCGGAAGTCATTAAATTTTTAAGATTTATGTAATATAACATTTCTTGTGAAATTAAATTAAATGATTTGAGCAAAAATATAAATCATGTGTTAATGATTCATTTATCATTTAGATGGGGATTTCTGACCGAGGATTATTTAAATCAGAAAGGGATAAATAATGATTTATGTGAAATCAGAATCGTTCTTTATAATTTTTTAACTCAAGCAATGTCAATTAATATCATAAATCATACAAGGATAAATCTGTCAATTCCTTCCCATTTCAATTAGTATCTTCCTGATAATGATCCTATTCTTGCCGTGTATGTCGCCCGTGTCTTCGCCTCTGACTGATGACTGCTGCCAGCTGTTTTCTGTTATTTTATTTGTACTTGTACCGATTTTCTTCAATTGTAGCGCCATTTATGCAAATTTACCATGCGACTCCTCCACTCGCAGTGCGGCGGAGTCGTTTTTGTTTCATTTTCTGTTTAGTTTGTTTGTTTTTCGTCGCTGTCGCTTTTTAGAAACTCTTTGGCGTTGGGCAATTTTGTTTGACAGACAACTCATGGGATGCCAGCAGGCCAACTGCCGAGCAGCAAGGCAGCAACTTGCAACGTGCAACGTGCATCCAACTGCACCTCAAAAAAGTGTGAATATTTCTGGGATATTTCGGATTCTAGCCCGCCACAATTGTAACGATTATGGCCTGATTGTTCGCACATTTCGGTGCACTCGTTTCGCACTGAAATATCACCAATAGCACCAACTCACCATCATCTTCATTCTCGAATCGTGATGCAACAACGCGTTTTTTCAGCACCGAATGTGGGGATCAACTTGCGTCAGCACCTAAAATATATATATATGTTTACGAATCGAACAACACTTATTTACATCCAAAAAGTTCTATATAGAAATGTTCACTCTGTTTATGGCAAACAGCTACCCACTTGTAAAGTAAAGCACACACCGTATTTTTTATTTCTTTATAAAAACGCTAAGAAAACGCGCGCGTTTCGCTAGCGGCCGAGTGCGCGAGACGAAGCGATCTCGAGCAAATTTGAAGTTCAAATAACAAAAACTGCGCCGACGCCCGGCGTATTTATAAGACTCCACTTCGCTGCCGAAGAGGGCCGACCGAATCGCTCGGCTGCCGCCACGCATGCGCAGTGCATATCGTACCTATAAGGCCGATTAAATCCAGGTGAGACGGGTCTGCATACCAGAAAAGACCACCTGTAGGGTATTCGGAACTGGAGCTCAAACTATAACTGAAACTAAAGCTGACGCTTCAGCTTCGTGCGTGCCCACAATTAGCCAGTCTTCGGGGTGCTAATCGATCTCGGAGCTCCACCCCCTGGCTTAAAAGTGTTTGTCTTAGACGTGGCTTCATGAACTGCAGAAGAAGCCCCGCAAATAGTCGCGAAAATTGCCATCATTATGCGCCAAAAATAGCAACGAAACGACCTTGAGTATTTACAGCGCTCGGTCGCTTGAGAAATGGGGAAATTAAATAAAAGGAAAAAGAAATGAATAATACACAAAAAAGAGATAACTTTTTTCATTTTAAAAATAAACGAAATAAGCAAATGAAAAATTGACAATTAAAAATGAATAAATAACATTGGAATTGTCAGGATTTGAAAAAAAAAAATTATATGATTTTTGAAATGACTGAAAAATCCAAATAAAAGTGAAAGGCTTGTTAATTTTTCAAATTAATCTGAAGTGATATAAAATAAAGTATAGGAGATAAAGTTGGCAACAACTTCTTATTACAATAAATCAAGGGAACAAAACCAGCCAATCCTTGAAATGCTACATTTTTAATATTATTTTTTTAATTAAAAAAAAATAAATTGCTAAAACAATATATTAACTAATTAAGAAGTACGAAAAATATAAAATAAAGGTACATTTAAAATTGAATTAAGTATTGTTAAATCAAAAATTAACAAGTTGAGTAGGCCTTTTAAAAATCATTAAAGAAACTACTCCAAAAATGCCTACTCATAAATAATATGTTTACAAATTCAACAATGTAGATTTCTGTTTATAGCTCTTGACAAGAAAACCTTTTCAAGACTTCCGAAAACTCTGCGCAAGCGTGCCAAAATATTCCGCAAACTTTTGCCTTGCAGTTTTGCTACCGTTTGAAGTGAGTTGAGATGCGATGACCTTGATTGATTTTATATCGATCGAAGTGCAAAAAGAACTCCCAAAATCCAAAACTTGAAGCTGTTTTGGATTGCTTTTATTTGGGCTGTCGAATGACCTTAGTTGGCAGTTAGCTCGAGTGATGGGGGAAAAGAACCCCAGCGGAGTGAAGGAAGTAGAAGTGGTGCTGGCCAAAAGTGTGAAAAGCGATCGGATAGCTTCGTTTTTCGTTTTGTTTTCATCAATCACGCGGAACTGCACCCTTTTTGGGCGATTGAGGGGTGGAGTGGGGGTACAAAACCTTGTTCGTGCCGCTTTTAATGGCTTATTAATGTTGATTTTCGTACTAATCCTTTGGCTGACAAATTAGACAATCGATCAAGCAACGGTTTCCATTGTTGATTCCATTAAATTAAGCTCTAATACCCAATGTAGAAACCCTGCAAGCGAAACAAAGCCACACAAAAAGATGCTGGTCTATGTTCGCGGCTCGTCGAACAACTAGAAATTCAATTATTAATAATAATCATAAATCGAACGAACGAAAACCGGAAGATACCCGTACAAGATGCGTTGCGTTGTGTACAACAACCATTTGATTCGACTCAAGTATTTCAACTTTCAAAACTAAGTAAGAAACATAATGAAATGCCATTAACAACTTGAACTGAAATCGTTTATTGCCCGTCGATATAATTAAAAGCCAGAGAGCTAGATCAGAGATGATCGACGGCTGCCACACAGATGAGTCGAGTTTCCGCTGGATCTGAACTTCTATTTGCGTGGCTAACTGGAAATTCTAAACGCCTTAAGCGGGGATTAGCACTAAAACTAAAAGCTTCTAGCAACTATTTAGCATGCCCACAAAATGCAAAAACAAAACAGAACTACTTAAGAATGTTAAGCTTTTGATTCTCTATATTTTTTAAATCATACAATAAATTAACACGGATTATTACTGCAACTAGGATGTGAAACCTAGAACCTGGTTAAAATTCACTGAACTACGTCCATAAATAATATAAGCCCTGTGAAGTTTATATGCATTTCGCTGGAAGAATTTCGCCCATGGCATACAAATGATTCGCAGTCGCATTCGCCACCAACAAACCGCAAGGTAAAACGCTCATAAAACCAACAACCAACAATAATAATCAGCAGGTGATTCAGCAGCCTCAATGGTTTTCACCCAAAACAAATCCGCCAACATTTCATTAAACCCTTGGGTCGCCTTAGCACTTGTTTAAATCGAACTGATACAAAATATTCACAAATAAATAAACAATCAAATATGACAAATGAAAGTAAAACGCGAGAAGGCGCAGTCTGTCATACTCTTTAATTTAGGTGATGGGGTTGGTTATAAATAAAATCAAAATCAAAAGGTAAATGACACAAACACGAGCCATTCAAATTTAAGCTAGATTTATTTCAAAGGTTCACAAAATGTGTGCTTTAAAATACATTTACTTCTTGTATAAATTGAAGTGCTACAAATTATTCGCGAATAAATTAACAATCATGGATGACTAATGTAAGGTAAATTTCAGTAGGTGCATCTTTTGGTACTCTCCAAAAATAAATATATAAATACAATTTTTAAATTCCTTAAACAATTTTTTATATAAATATGTTTATGAATAGTATGTTTGACTAGTTGCATATAATTTAAGAATTTATTAGCACTAAAATAGGAAATAAGATGAGTAAATTAATTTTGCAGGTCTTATTTAATTTATTATTATTATATTAGCAAAAAAACAAGAAAGGAAGCTAGCTTCGGCAAACCGAAGCTTATATACCCTTGCAGATCATTCTATTAATTTACAAATCGCAAAAATGTTAAATTTCTTATTATTTCACATTAATTTTTCGATCGTTTCTATCACAGCTATATGATATAGTAGTTCGATCTTTTAAAAATTAAAATCGAAATTTGGAAATATTTCAAAATAGTCATATCCCAGAGTAGTAGAACTAATAAAAACCAACAAAGATATAATTTTTTTCCCATAAATATTCATTTAATTTTTCGACCGTTCCTATGGCAGCTATATGATATAGTGATCCGATTTAAAAAACAAAAAAACCGAAATTCAGAAATATATAAAAAAAAATATTCCCAAGAGTAGAACGTAAAATTTCAAAAAACACCGGAGCTAGAATTTTTTTACGTTTTTTTTTTTGATCCCTCCTATGGGAGCTATAAGATATAGTTGTCCGATCCGGTTGGTTCCGACATATATACTACCTGCAATAGAAATACGACTTTTACGAAAGTTTCATCCCGATAGCTTTAAAACTGAGAGACTAGTTTGCGTAGAAACGGACGGACAGACGGACGGACAGACGGACGGACAGACGGACAGACGGACGGACAGACGGACAGACGGACATGGCTAGATCGACTCGTCTTGTGATGCTGATCAAGAATATATATACTTTATGGGGTCGGAAATGTCTCCTTCACTGCGTTGCAAACTTCTGACTGAAATCATAATACCCTCTGCAAGGGTATAATAATATAACAATATTATAATATTGTTTATTTACCAATTTCCCATAAGAGCAAACCTACCCCACCCGTTACAGTGAACCACCCACAAAGGTCCATTCATCAATATCTAATTACGCGAGTGACAATGGATCCAATCGTTGTAATGAATTTAAGTGACAAATTTATAACAACTTTCGTGGCGATTAGCTGAAAGTGAGGGGCCGAATGGGGAGGCAGTTGACTTTTTTGAGATGGATGGGGCGTCGGTTCGTTTTCATTAAGCACACATTTTTTTTTCGGTCATAAAGCCAACGGCGGTGAGCAACCGAAGTGAAACCGGCGACCATAACAAGTTCAGCTTAATTGCAACCTACACACAGAGAACGGGGCGAGCATCTGAACAGATTTTTTTGCACTCTCGTCTCAAGGTCGCCGAGGCATCAGAGGCATCTGACGGCAGAGAGGCTGAGAACCAGAATACCCGCTTAATGGCCAGCACATGGAACAGCGGAATCCCAAGCTGATCCTGTTACAAAGGAGGAAGTGAAGTGACTGGGAAACTGGTTCTGAATTCTCTTGATCGAGAATGTGACCTTAGTGGCACACAGGATTTCGCCTTTCTAAAACGCTTCGTCGACTCTTCGGCACAAACTTGGTCATAATTCATGGCTAGAACCGAGCGAGCTGGAGATGAGAACTTCCTGTCAGCACTTGCTAACTTGGCTAATGGAAACTTTTGATTTAGTTTTTGGGCAGAGAACCGTTTCCGACAAGAGGAGTTCCTAGAGCAGACTAGTTCCCAGTACTAAGCACTTTAATTAAAGCCTAAAACGGCTTAGCAAATCGAAGCGAAACAATTGCCATAAATATATTTATGGCTCAGCTGGGGTTCATAAATCACTTTCAGCCAATGAACGCACCCACAATGGATAAATACTTGGATGGGAGTTGCTTTTTTTTTCCTTTTTTTTAGTTTTTTTATTTTGCCAAGACAAGACAAGCGTTCTTTGGCGCAAACGTTGCGGAAGTTAACAGCTAATTAAAGAGCTTGACTGGAAATTAAATAACGAGCAGCAGTCGCCCAAAAGCCCAGATATTCTCTTTATGGTCGGCTGCATTTGGAGCGGACTTTTCGTGGTCTGCCACAATTGATCGCCCTTGCCTCTTGCCAAGTCGAGCATGCCACACACATTAAGCTTCTACACCCTGCTGTGCTCTATTCACCTACGCGAAGTTCGGATTGGGCAAGGTCAAAGCCGAAAGACGTTAATGCCTTTGGTATGCAAAATGTTTACCATTACAATCCGGCCAAGTCGCCTCGAATGTTAACCACAAAAAAAGCCACGCCAAGCAGCTGCCACAAAAACGATAAGAAGCTGGGGGAGAAAACAAGTTTGGCTGCAAGTTCAATGGCCCATTTTGAGGGCCAAATCCAGGATGCCAGCGCAGAGAATATGTCTGAAGGGAAATGAAAAAATGCATTGGATTTCATTTGATTTATAAAATGGCTGATAAATATTTTGAAATTTTTAATACATTTCTAAATTTTACTTTTTTAGGAAGAAAAGTCAATTTTAATTCAATATTAAAATTAGTCGAAATTAATAAAAGAATATGATTGCCCTTTTAAAAAAATATATTAATTTATTAAAATTGTATAAATGCATTATTTTCAGTGTATTATCTCGAAGGGTTCAAGTGCGTTTAAGCCGCAGCGACCTTGGTGGCAAGGAAGAATCGATCGGCTAGGCCGGGACTGCCACAACATTGCGGATGGGGATTGTTGTTCAACCTGAAATAATACGTGCTTGACATGTTAATTCCACGAAAGACGAAAGACTTAAGACACGAACCTGTCGCAGCAGGAACTTCTCAAAGCTGCGACTGCTGCCGAAGCTCAGATTGCGACACCTTTAAGCCGTCTGTGCTGAAATTAATGCCATCAGCATATAGATTGATAATTTACTGTACTGAAATTATTATCGCATCAAGTGCGAGCTGCATTTTGAATGCAGTCACCACAGGGTCCGCTAATGATGATCGCCTTAGCATCTAATTGAGATATAAAGCGACCCACGCATGGATAAACAAGCAAATACTCGGCTACAATTCAAATTACTAGATCGCTTTGAACAGTGGGACAAAATACTCAATATGTCAAAAATTAACAATAATACAATACATTAATGCAAAATATCTTATAAATTTCTAAGAACTTAACAATTAAATTAACACATAGTTGAATATTATATGAAACTTACTTATGCTAGTCAGCAGATGTGATTCATATCAGAATATTTGTGAATCATCCTAAATTTTGTTTAATAAACAAAACTTATGTTTTACCCATAATAAAAATCTAAATCTTACGTTTTTCCAGGGATTACTCAAAACGAACCACTGTGATCTACTTTTCTCAATTCGTGCACTTGAACTCGAGTGTCCGTTGCCCAAATTAAATACCACACACACGATACAATAGCTCAGCCGAAAAAAAACGAACAAAAAAATATAATTCCAATGGTTTTTCCATTCAACAATGGGGCAACGATTTTCAATGAATTTCAATATCTCTTCGTTTTCGGCTAATGAAAGTTATTAATAGGGGAAAAACGTCAAGAGCTTTGGGTAAAATCAACTAAAACAAACAATCAATTAGCCAAATCATCAGCCAGATATTTTTTGGTCTATTGCTAGGTGATTTATGAACCGAAAAAACGAAATGATCTAGGGAAAACAACATGCAAAAATCCGGGGACTGTGAGAAAGTGCAATGAATGTCGGCAGAACCAACGACGTCAGCTGACTTAATTTATTTAGCCACAAAAGTCAAGCCGAACCAGACAAAAGTCTCCCAAAACTCTAATTAAAACAAGTTTTGCATCTATTTTGGCAAGATCTTTTTTAACGATAACGAAGACGTTTGAGTGAGTCATTTCAGATTGATGAATAAATAATAATCATATTTAAGCAATATTTTGAGCTTAGTCACGGCATCAGATCAACAATGAAATGCTAAACGATATTTTAATAACCAATTTAACGCTATTATAGAGATAAAGATATATATATAGCTGGCCATCGAAATATGAATAGGAATTGAAAATCTATAAATCGTTCTTGATTTTGACATTTGTAAGCCACGAAGAAAAGTGTCAAAGGAGAATTTTTCGTTTCTTGGCTACCGAATGACCTTAGATTAGCTCACTAAAATTTATTCAAAGGTTCCTCTGTGAAGTCAAACGATTATTGTCGCACCATCGCTCCGCCGTCCGCCGGCCGTTAATCTTCGATGTCCGCTGTCCGTTGTCCGTTGTGCATTGTCCGTCACTTCCGTGACCTTTCGGTCTTGATGTCTGACTTCCAATATCCGATTGTTGCCTGTCAAAATCCGATCAAGACAAATAGTCTTGGGCAGATCAGACCGTTTCGTCGGTTATTTTGTTTTGAGAATCTGAGACACTTGGCTTACACACATAAATTGCGCATACGCAGTGTGCGCCGCCACAGAAGTCAAATATCGAAGGCGTACTCGTACTTTTAAGCCGTTTATTGCCAACCATTTATGGTCGAACTTTGCTTCAGTTCTTGCCAATTTGTACAGTTAATTTGCTTCTGATATTAAAAACCGCTATTAATTAGATTAAATCCAAACCAATGTTTTTTTTGGCTCCCCATTTGAATTGCAAATTAGCTGGGGCGCTTCATGTGCTTTTTTTACGATGCCATAAAATAACGAGCACCCGGTGGGCTAAGAGCTAAGAAATTAAAACAATCAACGGTAGCCATCAAACACGCAGGCATTAATTTGTACAAAGTTTAACATTTATTTATGTAATATTTAGTTGGTTGTACTCTTTTTTTTCGTGATTTTTCTGCTTTATTGAAGCAATTATCCTCTCGCAAGGGGGCAGTGCATTTAATCTGTTCGCCATCCGGTCAAGAACGCATCGTCTGGCTATTGAGGCTAGTGCTGGCTATTAATGCTATCTTTGTCGGCTTCTATTTGGCTACTTATTTCTTTCTATTCGAGCTAGTGCTAATTAAAGAGATATGTCTGGTGCTGATAAACTTCTACTGAGGCTGAAAGTATTATTTTTAGTGGGTGGTGAAGAACGCCTCCTAGAAGTAGTGTCCATAGTGTCCATGATGATGGTGTCCGTAGTATCCTCCATAGCCACCATAGTAGGGATATCCTAGGGTTGTATTTAAGAAATATTCGGAAAGATTAGAAGATTTCAGATGCGTTCCAAAATATAAATTTTATTTTGATCCTGGCAAATACATTAGGTTAAATTTAAATATTTTAGTTTTGGATACTAACGTTAAAAATTGACTAGAAAATATACACTTTATAATAATAAACATTAACCTGAATTTTGTTGATAAAATGAATTTAAATGCATTAGTGGAGAACTAGATTTTTAAATTAGAGAATAAATCCAAAATTATTTCCTAATTTTTTTTTAAATCAAATTTTTAATCCTCGGAATATATTTTTAATTTTAAGGTACGATACAAATGTTTTTAAATTAATTTTAAATTAAATTCTCTCCTTCTTTAACCCTTGAAAAATCCAGTATTTAGCCCCCCAAATATTTTTTAAAATTCAACACTTTCTTTCACTTTCTATCCCCTATCCATCTTACCAATTCCGTAGTAACTGCCGCTGTAATGTGGCCAATATCCGCCGCCGTAGTATCCACCCAAGTAAGGCGATGAGTAGTATCCGTATCCAAAGGAGGCGGCTCCCTCGAGATCCTTCTCCTCGGCCTCCACATTCGCCTCCTGGTCGCCGCCCTCCTCCCGACCCTCCTGCGGACGGGCCTCAACGGTTCGGGCCAAGAACATGGCCAAAAGGCTGAGGGCAAGCAGGAGGCAAACGGATTTGGCTTGGAACATTTTGACTGGATTTTTAATGCGAATTTTACAGCGGTACACAAGTAATGGAAATGCCACTCGGGGCTTACAACAACTGACTGACTGACGCTGGGAGCGTGCAGTGGGCTTTTATAATGGCCAAAAAGAAGGCGATTCTTCTTGCATTGCCATCAATGCGCAGCGACAAAACAATTGTCTAAGCGAAAAAACGAAAAACGGTTTTCCCCTCACCAATTTGGGCGACTCCAGCTGCGTGTGCTTCTAACTATCCGAAAGAAAACCCCCCTCTCGAAACATCAATGAATTCGCGAAGAGGGGGAGGCTTCTATTTCTTGCATGACCGACTACTAATTACAATGCTTTGGGCCAATTCACTATGTTTGTTTACTTGTTTCCACCCACCCGTCTGTGATCAGTGGGGTCAATGTCGCAATGGGCAGTGCCCGTCTGCTGTTCCCTAAAGGCCAGGAATTAATTTGCTTACATAATATGGACCGATTTCTCTACTCTTCCTATCGTTCCACTCTAATTTATCTCTCACCAACCGCCAACACACAAAATAATAATCATAAAAACCCAACACACGCTCTATAAATTAAATAATTCTTGTGTGTCAAAGTGGCTGAACAACATTCTAAACCTATAAAAAAAAAATGCCGCCCAAAAAGCGTCAGACTAGGTTTAGTGGTCAACCAAAAACGAATGTGGAAATGAAAATGTTCCAAGAATAGAGATGGGATCCCCATAAAAAAAACTAGCCAAAAATACGAAAACTAGTATGAAGTACGTCAAAACCATCTAATTCCCCCCGTAACAAAAAGGTCAGGTTGATTTTCTTCCGCTTCATCTGAGATTTCCCCGAACCCTCCGGTTAATTGCCCCGAAAATCTTCTCACAACTTTGCATGTTAGGCGGGGTCAGGGCTTTGGACAATGCGTTTCGCACGTTCGGCATCTTGGGGGCTCAAGCTCGGGGCTAATTGCCAGTTGGCAGCTTTTCGGGCTTATCTAAATTGCCACATTAGCCAAGAACTTGTGACTTGAGTTGGGAGCTGAGCTCTGTTGTAATTAGCCGAGTTAAATGCTTGGCTGGCCAGCAAGAATCCACAGAGATGTAGCATTGAAAAAGGTAAGGTGAAGGGTTCCAGGGCTATACCTTTGATTACATGTAAATATTTAAATGATTACTATTATTAGAGAAACCTATGACATGTGAAAGATTTTTATGAGAGTCTTTTTAAATTAGTTTTCTTGTATAACAAAATGTTGAATATTGTGAAAATATTTATTGCAGGTGGTAACAAAATTATCAACTTATTAAAAAATTCATTTAATATTTTTTGCAAAATATGTTTTAAAATTAGAGAACATTTTTTGAAGTAGGATTTGCAAATGCCAATTATGAAAAAGCAAAGAAACCATAGAAAAACACTGAAATTTTCCTTCAAAAATAACTTGTTATATATTTACACATCAATTTTATAAATAATATTTAAGTTCCCTTAAATAATACTTAGTTTTTGTTTCTTTTCCATTAATAATACTTTATTCTTTTTAAATAAATAAATAACAACTAGTTGAACACTCAAATTCACCGCATATTTACTCCAAGTCCAATGTGGAAACACTCTGATTTTGGTTGGGCATGTCGGGGAACCGATGGAAGAGCGACGAAGAGGGTTTCGTCTGGCTATCCAGTCGGGTCTCAAAAATTCCGCCCTCCGAGTTAATCAGATACCAACTGGGCGTCGGAGTGGCCCTCTGCAGTTCCTCTTGATTTAAGCCAGTTATTGGAGCCACTGTGGGTAGCTTCTTGGCCAAATCATCTAGTTCCTTGAGATAAACATCCAGCGAGCGATAGTCCGTGTTGTTGGCCACCTCGCCGGGTGCAATAAACTTGGGAGCCGTCGCCTCCAAGAGATCGTGCTCCTGCCACAAATTGCGTATATTCGTCATAACATCCGCATAGAGTATGGAGTCATCGTTGCGGTTGGTTTTTGGCTTAGGTGATTTGGATTTGGATTTGCGTGAATTCACCAGGCGACTGGCCAGCGGAGTTGCGGAAGTTACGGAAGTTAAATCCGCCACTGAATTGACACTTGAAAACCCCAATTTGCCATTAGTTGTAGTTGTTATTGTCGCCTGAGTTGTAGTTGTTGTTGTTTTTGTTGGCTCGTTCCGGAAGTTAAACCGCCGCCTCTCCTTTAATTTTTCCCGCTCTGCTGACTTGACTTGCTGCTTGAAAAGCCTTTGGCGACGTCGCCGATTTGCCTGACAATTGGTTGCAGCATTGCTGCAGCTGTTAGGTGACCCCGTCTTCAGCTCATTGGTGACCCCGTCGTCGTCGGGTAAATATTGCGTGGCATTTTTCAGCAGGTCTCCTATGTGAGCCACCAATTTTAAACCTTTTTGTACATCATATTTATCCTTTCTTTTCTCTGGAACCTCTGCAACGTGCCTTCTATTTCTTTTACTTCTCTTGTGCTCTTGTTGGCGACTCAAAACCGCTCTCAGCCTTTGCTGTTGGCCACGTTGGTAGAGCTGCTGTTCCAGTGATTTTTGGGCTATTAACGTATGACTTTGCCTTTGGATATGACGTTGTCTTACTTGCGGAAACTTTTGTCTCTGTCGCTGCAAAAGACGCTCTGTTTTCCGCACTGAGGCCAGAATTTCCATGGGTATTTGCAGCTGATTGGGGCCGCTTTGCAGCTGGGTTTCTTGGGTGAGGAGGTCGCCTTGGTTTATTATCTTAACCCTGTTGGTGGCCAGTTTTCTTGGTTGTTCCCAGATTACAGGAGGATTGGAAGGTTGCCTCTGACGTAATCTTTTTAGCTGCTGAAAATGCTGAGGAGGCTCTATAATTCTGATCACATCCCCCGCATCATCGTCCACATAACCAGGACGAATATCCTGCAGATGAGGAGGAACCCGATTTTCATGTTGTTTGGGTTCCGGCTTGGAAACTCTATAAACTGGGGGATTTAGCGTAGAAGTAGAACCTCCTTCCTGGCTGGGACTATCCACTTTGATCCCTTGAATTACTTGGAAGTATAGTAGAAGCAGCCAAAAAATCCTTAACACTGCCATTTTGCACTTTTACTCTCACTACTTTTCACTTTCGCGTTCGACGACGGCCAACCGACAACTGTGCAGTAAGTGTGCTATCATTCGGCCTTTATAAAATTTCCTCGCCAATTTTTCCAATTTTCCAGTTTGAAGCCTTTCTTTCTTTCTTTTCTTTATTTCTTTCGTGACGAGATAGATGTCTTTGCAGTCTCGTCATCATCGTCGTCGTCGTCATCGGTCGTTTGTTAGCCGCCTCGGCAGCAAATGAAAGCGAAACTGAAGTTGCTGCGTTGCAACGTTCAACGTCCAATGTTATAACTGGTCAAAGTCGGAGATTTCAGGCCTCGTTTCGCTTTAGAAACCCACTTTGCATACGCCACAAGCATCGGTGGTATAAAACACTGCAACTTTCTGGCTCCCCGTGCAGAAACTAGTTTCCAGCTTTAGTTTGTTCGATCGTTTGGCCAAGTGTTTTTATTTTCGCGGTCTCTCGTATCTCATTAGCGCCCGCCACTTGACCCTCAACTTGAACTTCAGCAGAAAGCCACTGAAATTTTCGTGTATTTGTGTCATTTGGGCGAAAGGCAAAAACGAACGGTGAAATAATTTATGCACTGGTCATTTAATTTGGTTGCTTTAAATATTTTTGCGGGGAATAATGGGATCTTTTGATGGGGTTGATTTATAGGCACTATTGGTATGCTGCGGTGGGAATATTTAATGGGTAAAATAAATATATTCATGAGCTTGTTTCCATGTGTAAAAATTAAATGTTTTCTTTGTTGGAATAGTAATAGGAATAACACGAATTAGCTTTTATGAAAGGTTTAAGATTAATAGAAAGATAATATTATTAATAAAATATCTTTAAATTAAGTCGCAAAAAATACATTATTCAATATTTTTTAACTCGTATTTAAGTAAAGTTTAAAAGTTGCCATTTAATTTTTACTACATCATTTAAGTAATCTGTACTTAATATAAAAATATATTGCCCGATTTTATTGTCAATAAAATTTAACAGCTTTTTAAACATGAATGCGGTTGCGCATGCGTAACATTTTCGCAAGCGCCTAAAAGATGCTTTAGATTTTTCACTCATCCCAAATAACAGTGGCTTAAAAGTTAACAGCAAGCACAGTGAGTGCAAAATGTTAATGCTCACAAATCCAAAAAACTAAGATATAAAACACCTTTTAAGATTTCAATAAATTATATTTATTGCTAAAACTCTTGCGACAATTCAACCAAGCTTTTGACCAATTGTACCTCCCCGAACAACGAGGACATATCATATTATTTTTCTTTCACTACACACTACGAAATAAATAAATAAATAAACATAGTTGGTTAAACATTAGAGTGGGTTTTGGGGTGAGATTAAGGCTCCCCACGAGGCTAAGGCATCGGCGTTAATACGTTAGATTAGATTTTCGGGAATTCTAGAGGATTTGGACTTTCATGCGAGACTTAGGCTTAAGCTACTCCACAACCATGGGCAGCCAGGCGTTATCGCTGGCGAAACCACCACCCACAGCACCACCGGCACCACCTGCATTAGTTGCCCTGAAACCCATGCGCCTCTCATGGGTTTTGGGGATCACTGGAATGGGATGTTGATACACTCCAGCCAAGCTCTCCATGCCCAAGCCCATTCCCATGCCACTTTGTTGCGAAGATTTGGGGTTAATAATCTGTGGGTAGTTGCGTGATTCTTCTGCCTGGGGATTCACCGTAGCCGCCGCCTCCGCCTTGCGATTCTTCTCGAAGAAATCAATGATGGGATGATAGTTGTAGTTGATCCTCTTGCCCGACATCTCATTACTAGCACCACCACCGCTCACTGGATAGACGGCCGGCGGTTGTGGTAGTGCCGTCGACTCAGCCCTTTGCTCCCACTGATTGGTGGTGCGTTCGGTGCTCGAAAGTGACGACGCTGGGAGGCTGTTAGCCACTGAGTGGGTGGTCGTCTGACTGGCGACTGCTGGTGGTGGTGGTGCATAGAAGCGGGGTCGCGACTTGCTGCCGCTTTGCTTTGGAGTTGGTGGTGCGGCACCTGTTTGATGGGCATGGGCGGCATGGGAAGGGGGGCCAAACTGGGCTGGGACTGGGGAGGCGCCACTGGCGAAGGACGCTGGGCTAAGGGCAGCTGTTCCCGTTCGGGCTGGTAGACTTGTGGTCTGTGGAAATCGTAGGCCAAAGGCAGCTCCTCCTGGGGATGATTGTATTGCAGATGATGATGTTGTGGTGGGGGCTGTGTGGGTGGAGGCATAAATACGCTTGCGATTGAGCGGTATACGCGGCTTCTCTGCACCGCCGTTCGGTAGGTTTACCTCTTGCTCCGAATGCCTCTCGCTGGGCGACAAATCCAAGTCCAGACGAGCCTCCGAATGCGGCTGTGGCCGCCTGTAATACTTCTTGGAACTGGAACTAGATCCCTTGTATCCTCCTCCATAACGATCCTCTTCATCTTCGGGGGGACTGAGATAGGGACCCACACTTGAGCTTAGACCAGGAAGCTTCACTCTTACTTTGTTGCTGCTGGAATACAGCTCATTGGTCTCGCGATTATTAAACGAAGGATAGCGAAGTCCCAGTTCATCCTCCTCACTCTCATCCGCATAATCCAGATCTTCTTCGTTAATAGTACTATAACCATTGTGATTGGTATTCGAGTGAGTGCTCAGTGGCGAATAATCCTTGGCTTGGATGGAGGATAGAGGGGGAAACTGCTGGCGATAACCATCCACCTGGCAGGAGCAGCAGGTGGGCACCTTGAAGATATCCACATGGAGACCACGTACTTTATCCCAACTTAAAAGTCGATGGTAATTGTACACCTGTGAGCAGTGCGAGCGATAAGTTTGCGCCAGGTAGGAACAACTCTCGCCGGGATTACTGGGGATTTTGGGGGGAAGATAACAAAGTTAATAATGCAATTTCCTTTCAAGTGGAAAATCCATTAACACCCACCTGCACTTCTCCAGTCGCAACGTTTGCGTGTGCTGACCAGTGTTCACAATGTACTTCCACTCTCCCGAAGCGGATTTCGCCTTCTGGGGTCGCGCATAACGCACCACGCTCTGGCACATTCCACCGGCACTGCCTTCATCCTCACGCCTGTAAATCAAGATAAAATAAATTGTAATTAAATTATTAATTGTATAAATCTGTCAGGCAAACATATTATTTTATGGAGTATTTCATTATTAAATGGGGTTTGGAATTGGTTTTTTTCATTGATCTTTTATAACTAAAGACCAAAATAAAAAACATTATTTCACATATTTCGACAATTTTGTAAACCTAAATTCCGTATAATGATAGATTTAATAAATGTACATTGTTCATGCCAAAACGTCATAATTAATATTATTTTGTAAACAGCTATGACATTTAAACTAGAAAAAAAATTTTATTTTTATGCTTATATTTTGTTATAGTCCAAGACGAAATAAAAATATTTGAAATATTTGGAGAATTGTGTAATCTAAAATTCCATTTACTAATACATTTTCTTTGCTTTGTGTGAATAATAAAAAAAAACATTTTAACACCGTAATAAAAGAAGTCAAACCTATAACTTTTATTGTCTTCCAATAAATTCTTTTCAAATGCTTTCAAAAGCAAAGTGATGCTTTTAAATTGGTCGCATTTTTAAACCTTAATCGATTTAAATTGGTAACACCTTTCCATTTCCTTTCTATTTTTTACTCACCTCTTTTTGCTCAGGCTGAAGTCATCGAAGTCATCGCCAAACTCCAGATTATTGTTGGGTTTATCGTAGAACTCGGCCAAAAGAGCGGACATGGCGTTCTTGTGTCGCCTAATGCTGCCCATGATCTGTTCACTGGGATTTCGAAAATAATAGATACAGTTTCCAACTGTTTTTTGCAAGCCAAAACCAAAACCAATAACTAAGCATAAGTGCAAGGGAAATTTTAGGCAAGTGATTTAAATAAATTACTGTTTATTAGGACTAAAACTCAGACTAAACTAGGAGTAAGGTGTAAGGACTAAGGACTATGGACCGGAACCGGAAACCAGGGAGAACCAACTATCTACGGGGATCTTACAGCGGATAGTCGTCGGTGCGGATGCACATGTTGCTGGTGAATCGTTCGCATTTCTTGTGACCCGCAGCTGCTGTCACCACGGGTTTGTGTGAACTGGCTGAGGTTTTGGGTCTTCCACGAACAGAAGATGAGGAGACCCTCTTTCTCTTAATGGGAGCTCCTGACTTTTGACCTGGCAGCGGTCTTTTTCCCAGGCGATAACGTGGACCGGCTATCAGTTCCTCGGGACTGGGTAGAGGTTCCTCTCCGGACTCCTCACCGCTGTTTCTTTGCAGATCCAATCGCTCATCGGCACTCAGTGGGATTTCAGTGCCATTAAGACCAGCAAAAGCCAGATCCTCAATCTCGGCATACGATTGGCCATCATTAGCGGAAGCTGGTTGCTCCTCCTCCTGACTATTCGACTGTTGGAAGGCAGTGGTATTCAGTTTGATGGTCCTGCCAGCAATGCCACCCAGCAGTTGCTGTTCATTCACAGAAGCCAGGGGCACAGATCGAGTTAGCTTGTGAACAAACTCATTAGCCGATCGACGAACTCTTTGATGGTTTTCTCCACGATTTTCTAGTTTCACGGGTTTAGTATCATTGCCATGCAGATCGCCCGTTAGCGCCTCATTAATCATCTGCGGATCCAGGACCTCGGCTCCCATCTCATCGAAAAAGTCCTCGAGGGACTCGGATTCCGATTGCTCCTCCACCTTTGGCTCCACATCCACCGCAATGGTGCCCACTTGATCGTCTTGTTGGGACTCCTCTGGTGTCAAATCATCTTCCCGACGACTGATGGGTGTGTTGAAAAGGGCGGCAGAGGCCAAATCGGAACCCAAATTAATGTACTTGCGGGTGGAACTCTTGATGAGATTTGCAATGTCGAATACTATGGGTAGGAGCAGCTTTTTGTCGTTGCCAAACATCATGCGAACCTGAAGTAAAAATGTGATAAATATTTAAATAAAATATTAACACACAAAAATAATTAAATTATATAACAATAAATTTAGAAACTGATTTTTGCCAGAACGAAATATTACATTTTTACTTTATTATTTTTTTTATGTTTTTATTTAAATTAGATGTATTTCCTTCCAAACTCACCTGCTCAAACTTCAGTTCATGTCCTTTTTTGGCATTCATTTGGGCCGAGATCAAAGCGGACAGGGCCAATCGCTGCTGGGAAGAAAGTACTCTTAAAATGGGCATTATTTCGCCAAACTTCTGCCGTAATCCCTCATCCGCCAAAGCTTTTGCAAGAGCATTCCTCAAAACCCTTTCCCGCCAATCAAAAGGAGGCAATTGCTTCTCCGATTCGGGCTCATCCAGATCCACACTAAAGTCCAGCATATTGGACTCCAGCTTTTTCTCAGCCTGCTCCGCCTGCTGGGCCTCCTCCAGATCGTCCAATTGCCAGTCGGCATCCGGAGCAGCAGCATCCTTGGGCTCGGCGAAATCAAAGTCCATCAGCTCATCTTCAGGGGAATTGCCACTGACCAGATCCAAATACAAAACACAATAGAGCAGGGCCCAGAAAAGGCAGCCAAAGGCGCGGCCAGCTTTCATTTTCACTGGGGCTCTAATTTCTCGGCTTTGTTTTTCGAATTTCAGCCGTCTGAAAGGAAAGTTAATGCAGAAGGGGGCGGTCACTGGCGGTTATTAAGTTGGCTTTAATTTTCCGAAAACAAATTGCAAACGAAACAATGACAGCTGGTTAATTGTTTATTTATGACTGCACCAAGTCACAAGACACTCGCACGCTTTCAAAAAACAGTTTATTTTTCAGTTTATTCTTAGATTTGACAATTCATAACCATTCATATATATCTTCTCTTTTTTTGGCTTTCCATCGAAAGCAAGAGTCATTAACATGAGCGTAGACTATTACGAGTGGAGTCATAACCATCTTGGCCATCTTTACTGCTATTACAGCAGCACAGTCGTCTCCGGCTTTAGGTAATCGCACTCAGCCATCGCCGTCGTCATCATCATGATCTTCACTGTCATCTCAGTTGACTGCCCAACAAGGCGTGAAGCACCCGAAGCTGCTCTGTTTTTCCTTATTTTATGGCTATTTTATGGGTATTTTTGCAAGGGGTTATGACTCTTTCACTAAACTGCCCGTTTTACCGGTAATACAAAGGTCGTGTGATTGATTTGACTGGGCCTTAACTTCCTATCATCATGATGAAGACATTTGTTAGCCCGAAAGAGAGGCTTTCCTCTAGGAACTTGGCTTTTCACTTCTCATCTATGCAAATGATGTGTTTGGTACAAAGGAAAGTCTTTCTTTCTTTCTTTACTTCGTTATTTATTTACTAAGTTGGCTTAGCCACCCCAAGGAGCCGACAAATCTGAATGCTAACTACACCCAAGCCTAGAAAACACCGCCAAGGCAATGTCTACACTAATAAAAAATATACTAAAAATAAATATCTTCACATTTAATTCAAAAATTCATATTAAATATTAAAATTAAATAAAAATAAACAAAACATTTAAAATAAAAAAATTGAATTGCATGATTAAATTTGAAAATATTTGAATCAAGTTAGAAAATATGATTTAATATTTACTTTAAATATTTTGCGTAGGATTTCAAATTAAAATCAAAGTTTGACATATTAAAATTTACTACAATTGTTAAATTTAATATTTTCATTTTTATAATTGTAATAAGTAGGTGAAAAATATTCAAATGATATACGAAATTTTAAGATTTCCTCGGTTTTTTTGTCAGTACAAGAAAACTCCTCCGAGGCAGTGTCTCTAGCAGCTGCATCGATGTTTTGCCGAAGAAGCTGCCTGCTGCTGTGACCTTTTGTGCAGATGAAAAGTGAAAATTTGGCTGCAACAGCCATTTCGGCAAACAGTTGACAGTTTAGAAAAGGCAGCCAAGGCCAAGCGGGAAAACTTATGGCGGACGTGGGTTGTAGGCTGGAGGATGAGATTGGCGGCATGAGATTCGCGTCTTTTAAGAGGCACCCAAAGGCAAGGCAAATAATTGAATGAAATGATGTGCACAGTTTGCGGCGCACGAACGTGAGGATGCTGCCGTTGTCATGGAGGCTCCTCGATGGCTTTAATTTATCTCGCACACCTGCACAGAAAATTCCCGCTAATGGATCCTACAAAAAGGGGGGACGCTTCTGGTTTTTGTGTAGCCTTTGCATATACGTACGGTTATATAGATATTTTTGTAGCTCTGGGAAAGCGGCTTGCTACGATAAATCAAATTAAGCCAATAAGTCGCCGCAGTTTCCCATATATGCTAGCCATTATTTTTTTTTTTTGGTTCCCAGGCATCCCAGTAATTTCGCGTGGGTGCCATTTGCAAGAAAGTAAATACAAATTACAAACGAAAATGGTACTGGGGAATGGGCTGCAGATGCTGCAGTTGGCAGTCTGCAGATTGCATGCCAAACTCTCAGGCGAATTCTTTGGGCCTCAATAATTAACTTGTAATTTGCGTGCGTTGCGCAGACAAACGAAACGGGGCCAGTCAAAAAAAAGGAGAAAAAATACAGATAAAACAGCTAAAAAACAAACGAAACGAATTGAAGAAAACAAATTAAAGCGCTGCAAATGCGAGAAGAAACATCAGCTGAAAGCAAGAAAGTCGCCGTCTGCCGCAGAATCCTACTAAGCAGAAGCAACTAGGTGCTAACCGACTAACCTAGTAAGCGAACCCGCTGAACCACTAACTACTGAACCACAGCTGTCGCTAGCTGTCTATTAGACCAATCAGGGGGATCGAAATCGATATCTTCCTCAAATGGGTTTGCCCACCATCTAAACTGATCCATAAAAATCCAAATCCCAAGCAAATTGCCGGGCCCTAAACGAAAGACTTAAGACACAAACTCGAAAAAGCGGCAACTCATTTATAAATAAACACATACAACACACACACGCACACCTTAAGCAGCGCGGACTGACACAATTTCCTCGGGCGTAAAGAATAAAAAGAATTCAAATTTTTGTGCGTCGTTTTTTTGTTGTTTTCTTTCATTTAGAAAGTTTTTTCCATTTCACATATTTGGCTAAAATACACACACTCACATACACATAAATAAAATGGTATTTTAAAATTCCATTTCGATTTTGTTTCTTGTTCTCTCCTTTACGCTCTTTTTTATGATTTTTTTGTTGATGATTAATTTATAAAACGAGGCTGAGCTCAAGAAAAATCACCTCAGATCGGCGCGTCTTCAGTCCACTGTTCTTCTCGCAGCCACTCCCTTTTTCCGAACTTCTGGTTGGATTTTTAGCTTTTGGTCAGTGATTATTTCCGCAAGAACTGAGTTTCCTTTCCACTCCACTTTAAAAAAGATAATTTTCACTTTTTATGGGCTCTTTGGCTGATTTTCACACTTTTCACACGCGCCTTAATTAACAGATTTTCTACTTTGCCACACTTCTTGGCGCTTCACCTCCGTTTCTGTATTTTTTCCTTCCGCCTGCTACGTCTGAACGCTTTCAACACTCGCCGCAGACTGATTTGCTGCCTCAACTGCTGCTTACTGCTTCTTTAACTGCCGCTTAAGCTGCTTTTGCTGCCGCTGCTGCTGCGGTTTCTTTGCAGCTTTTGCTCCTCAGTTGGCTCAGTTGGCGTTCTGGACCCGTTGCAGTAAATATCCAACTTTGCTGCGTGTTTGTGCATTAAAAATGCGCATCGGCAAATTGCATTTGCATTTCTCGGTGCAGTTCAGTTCGCAAGTTCATTGAACCGTTGCCTGGCTTAGATTTGCATATTTTTCGCCTGTGAATCTATTAGCGTTTCATGCGGAAGTTTGCCGAAGCAGAAGAAGAGTCGCCTGCCCAGTTCGTGTCTTAAGTCATTTGTTTTTTCGGCACTGGGTCAGGAAGCGAATTGGCGAAAAACGGAAGCATGCAAAATTGTGTATTTAAACGGCTTTCTATCGGCATCATTAGCCACAAAAAACACTTTGACCACTTCATTGGGCGTTCCCCGCCCACCGGCGAGGTTCAGCCCCTAAATTTTGAGGAAAGAAAATTAATTTCGCAGCCGCGGCACTTTCGTTTTTCAAACAAAAAAAAAACAGCCCTCGGTGGCAACTTTGGGCAGGTTGTTAGCGCCTCCGCCTATTTGTAAACCAGCGAACAGTGGAACGAAGCTAAGATAAATAGGTAGATTAACTTAAATATTTTAATCTAAGTATTTTACTTACTTTACGTATGTTTAACCCAACAAAATATATAAACAAATAATTTGATACATTTACATAAACCTTTCAACCTTTAATATTCATATTTATCATTTATCCTTTATATTTTGTAAGATTTTGACCCATATATAAAAAATAATTTAATTTTTTTAAAAATAAATTCCAGCATAAGAGCCCTGAGTTTCATTAGTCGATACTCTTTAAAATTTTGATTCAAATTCAAAAATCGTTCATAAAATCAATACCGTTGCAGAGTCATCGACTTATTAAAACCTAGTCAAAGTTAATTACCTTATATCGTTTTCCACCCCACTGTGCAATGACTTTGACTTGCGTCTATTAACGACTTTTCGTGATTTTGACGTTTCGCTTTTTTGCGCTTTATTGTTATTTCTTCATCATTGGTTGAAACCCATAAACTATCGCTTCAATTGCTCCAGGGCAGTGGCAACCAACAAGTGGCAAGTGCCTCCTCCCTCCGGCTTCTGTGGCACTTTCGATGACCACTTAAAGAGCACATTTTCTTCACACTTTCGTTGGTAACCACAGCGGCAAAACGGCTGAAAAAACCAGCTGAATTTTCGTTTTCATTTTCATTTACACGCAATATTTTCCAGCCCCCCGAAACGCATTTTATCTTAATGTCCATTTGTCGAGATTACCGCATCGCTGGACGTGTGTTTAATTGCAGCGTCATCAATCAAGCAACCATGTCCGAATGTGTCCTCTCGACTGACTCAACTTTGTTGCACTTGGTTTTCCATGGTTTTTCTTGCAGATTTTCCGCTACCGGCGTTCATCTCGGCTGGCCAACTGGCTGACCATAAAAATAGCGATGCACTTGGCTAATTTGCACATTTCATTTTTATTTTTATATTTACTTTATTTTTTGATATGTGAGTTCCGGTCGTAAGTTAAGACAGTTTATCAGAGGATTGCTAGCACTGCATTTTGGAATAGTCACTAGCCTTTGAAATTCTTAATCGAATGCACAAGAACATTGACATTGAAAATAATCAGGTTTGCCTTTTAGGTTTTGCATTTCAGGTTAATATTCAAAAGACATGCCATATAAGTTATAATTATGCATACTTACGCCTTTTATTTTTGTCCGATGAAAACTCTTTGCTCAAAACAATTCCGGTTTTTAATTTAGTCTGCTTGGGTTTCACTAAACCTTATAAATTTGTAAAGTACCCGCTGATGATTTGCATAAAATATGGTTCGAAAAATATACACCTAGTTATCACCTTTTCAAGGTTTTATGAAAAGTACCCATATATGTATATTTAGGACAATTTATTTAAAATAAAAATTTATTTAATTCGAAAATTTTATAAATTTAAATTCTGGTTTTTTGTTTGATGTTTAAAGTGGTCAAAAATGGTATAATGTCCTTTTAAAAAAATATAATTTTTTAAGCCCTAATAAAATATGAACAATTTCATTTAAATTAAGCGCTGAGTAAATTGGAACCAGTTCCTGGGATCTGTTCAAAAGATGCCAGACCAGATGAAAAACTTAAAAGCTTTATTATTATAAAGTTAACATGATTACCAAATTTAACAGAAAAGCTTACCAACTTTATGAAGTCTGTTAACTTTACAGTGGGCTTTAAACTAAAACTCAAGCCTGACTTATTTTAAGATATAAGTCGTCAAGATATGAATATTGCCCATAAGTCCAAAATTAAAGATAAATTCCGGATATAAGAGAGGTCTATAGGTCGACCATTATGCAGATTTAACCCACGAAATAAATGCGCTTTTAAATTAAACCCAATTCAACTGGTGTAATAATCATAATTATATTTCGTGTTTAATTAATTTATTTGTACAATTCTATAGCTAGATATCAATACAATTACATAGATCCTATGCGCTGCACGCCTAAATCAACGATTCATAATTCACAACTGATGGGGCTTACAAAGCTGCTTCTTGTGCAGTCAAATCTTGGCTACATCCATATGGGGAAATAGCTCAACTCGAAGATGGGATTTCAGATATACAGACTAGAAGAACTAAGTGACGAATATTAAACTAGGCATAGGTAGCGCCATTCATTAATCGTAAGGCCTAGAACGTAAATCATAAGCATTTTCGTATTTTGTTGCGTCAACAAATAAATATTTACAATGAAAGAAACTCTCTGTGTGGGGGGTTTCGAAATGGAAATTAACGATAAAATACAAATAATACTGCTCGACAAGCACGTCGTCACAAGGTAGAATGGAAAATTTCAAAAGAACTACGGATAGGCAAAGAGATGTTTTGATGGACGATGGATGAGTTGTGGATGGAGTGGTTGAGATGCACAGTTAGTTGGTGGGTCAGGGTCGGTTCAGTCAGCGTCATATCTCGCACTCGAACTCCGATATCCGGTGGTTGAAGTACACCACTCCGTGCTCGAGATCCTCGCTGAACCCACTGACGTCCATGTAATCGGAGGCCGCCGAGTCGTCGTCCACCCACTTGTGCAGTGACCTTGTGATCTCCAGCCGCGACTGAGCGAACGAAGGTCGCATGTGCGGCTCCTTGTGCCAGCAACGCGACATCAGGTTGTAGAACTCGTGCCGGCTCTCCTTGGGAAGATCAGGCCTCAGACCCTGGGGCACCCGGCGAATGACCTCGCGTCCCGTCAGCTGGGAGTACGGCGTAGAGCCTGAAATATGAAGAATTATATTAGAATCTTTTTTATTTTTAAAGTTTTTTTTTTAGAATTTTTTTAAAGTCCACTGTATGGGAAATTACTTTGTAATAATATAAATAAATATATATGCTTAATATTGTCCAGTTACAATTTTTTATAGAATTTTTTGCCTGAGTGTAAAGTTTATATGCAACAGTTTAAACAAAATATGAAAGCTTCAGCTTTGTAAATAAAAGATAAAGTTAATTTCCTACGTAAGACAAGAAAACAAAGCACAATCAAGAATATCATTGTGAAATTAAAAAGAAAAATATATATGTGTTTTTTATAGACAGTTAACCACAAATTCAAATTGAATAATCTCATCAAAGAGTCGTGAATCGATGCTTAAATTTACTGCACTTCTTGACTTCACAAATGACGATATCGGGTTCTTTAAAAGATTAATGCTTTAATAATATACTACTGCCTTTTTAATTTGAATTGATGGTTGATTGGTTTTTTTTTATAATAATGGATCAATGTAAGCGTTAGTTAAATAAATTCAGAGCTAGATTTATAAAATCTCAAGAGGTTAGTCATGTTTTTTGGTGTTGTCTTTTGCTTCAGAATTAATGATCTACAAGCCAGATACTCAAGATACAATATTAATTCTATATAGTTATCGGTTTCCTGTTTTTGGCTTCCCAATCTCTAGAAAAACCTACCCAGAGTGGCGATCTCCCACAGGACGATGCCAAAGGCCCAAATGTCCGTTTCGGTGGTGAACATGTGGTATTGCAGGCTCTCCGGAGCCATCCATCTGATGGGCAGGGCGTGTCGCTTGCCAATGGTATCGTGACCATGATGCGACTTCTTCTCCCCATGCGGATGATGGTCCTTGGAGGAGCAGTGACCTTGACCCTGACCCTGGCCAAAGGTGTGCTGCCAGTGCTGCAGGATGTATCTGCTACCAAAGTCGAACTTGAACTTGTGCGCATTGTGTCGCATCAAATCATTGGCTGCATTCTTCTCCTGCTCCTTCCTCAATCGCTCTGCATCTAAATCAATGGACATGCCAAAGTCACAGATCTTGCACATGCCATTGTGATCGAGCAGGACATTGCGAGCAGCCAGATCTCGATGGACAATCTGTTTTGGAGATAAAATAATTATTATAGATTTTATTTCAATTTAAATATATGTATTATTTACCCTTCTGCCTGCTATGTACTCCATTCCACAGGCTATATCCAGGGCAAATCCTGCTAAGGTTCGTGGCGATAATGGAGCCAGACTTCGACCTCCTGGCACTGAGGCTGGCAATATGTTTGTGGCACTTCTAGCGGCTCTCAGAAGGGACAGAAGACGTCCCCTCATGGCATATTCCATAATAAGCATGTGGGGTTCTGAAAAGAATAAATATAAATTAATTTACTTGCATAACCTTTTCTTTACCCCTGCTTAGCACCTTCCTTTGACCTTCTTCAAGTACTCACCACTTTCTACACAGGCCCCTAGAAGAGTAACAACATTTTGATGGGATCCCAGCTTCCGCATAATGTTGGCCTCGTCCTTTAGGCTCACCTGTGCACTGCAGGCTCTAATCGTCTTCACCGCCACAATTCTGGTGGCTCCAAAATGGCCACTCAGATCATCAGCTTCCGCCTTCCACACCTGACCAAAGTTTCCCTCGCCCAGGAGGCTCTTCAGTCGGATATTACTCCTTTCGAACTCTTGGTACTCGCTGGCCAGCGATGTCTTATCATCATTGTTTCCATATCGATTGTGGTTGGCATCCCGCTGATTCGATTGGGACATAGGCATCGCCTGCTGCTGGTGGTGCTGATTATGCTGGTGGTGCTGCGTGTGTTGGTGGTGCGTATGGTCCACCTCGTCGTCGTCATCATCCATCTGGTATTTGGAGTCCACCTTCTTCACTGGCGAAATGGGCTGCTGATCCGTGATGCAGACATCGAAGACCTCACCCTGTTTGGCCCTACGTCGCACCACATAGTTTCTCACCAAATACAGGATAATGGCGGCTAGAGGTATTACACCCACAGCCACTAGAACTAAGGTGACCAGATTCATGCGTCTCATCTCCAGATTTACATCCCTCTCATTGGCTATCACCGTGGAACTGATGTCCAGGGGCGGAACCGAAGAGGAGGACTCTACAATGCCGATGTAGACTTCGTTGGAAGGTACAGTCACCACCGGTGGTTGTGGTGGTGCCGAGGTTGTGGTACTCGTACTCGTACTAGTGGGTCGCGGATGCACAGTGGATCGTATGGATGTCAAGACAGTGGTGCGAAGGATCTTGGGACTGGAATCGGTGGTGTGGGCTTGATGGGTGTGACTGCGTGGTGTGACTCCACAGTCGGAGGTATTATTGCAGAATATTATCAAGTTGTTGGCATCTTCGATGTTTATCTCTTGGGTTAGAGCAGGCCCCAAGGCTCTTATAAGTTCCTTATCCTTTTCAATGATGGAATTGGCTTTTGTTGTGGTGGTGGTGGGGATGGCAGTGGTGCTACTCGTTGTAGTGGTTGTGCTACTCGTTGTAGTAGTTGTGCTACTCGTTGTTGTTGATGGTGCTGGTGTAGTGGTGGTTGTTCTTTTTGTGGTGCTTGGTAGTGGTGTAGTTGTGGTTGTTGTGGTACTTGTACTTGTACTAGTTGTTGTGGAGGGTTTCTCAGTTGTGGTTGTCGTTGTGGTGGTGCTGGTTTCTTCCGCCTGCCCCACTGTGGTTTCCTCCTCGGCACTTAACACGGTGATTATGAGCGGTGTTGAAGATGAGGGTGACACCTTTTGCACCACTCTACGCACCACCGGCTTGGCCACTTCTGATTCTGTTTGTTTTAGTTCCTGGAGAGGATCGGCTAAACCAGCAGTGGGTCTTCCCGAACCCACATACCTCGTTCGACTCACTGGCGAGGCAGGTGGTGCAACTGGAGCAGCTGGTGGTGGTGCATTTCCTCCTGCAAAACCCCTTTCCCTCATATGGTACTTGTATTTACTGCGACTTCGCTCTACAGGGGTCAAAGGTCTTCTTGTAGAGACAGTGGGTCTAGAGGTGCTAACTGGAGCTGAAGTGGTGCTAGTTGTGGTGCTTGTGCTCTGATCCACTGAAACCTCTAGAACTCGCGGATGTTCATTATCCCCCTCGGCTGGTTTAATGGTCAAGCCACCCGGTCGAATGGGTGGGAGCTTGGCTCCAAAGTAGACATATGGCTTAAGGTCATCCTCCTCCTCATCCTCATCATCGACAGCCTCCTCCATTGAGTTCGCTTTGCTGGGTATTCCTTTGCCTGATGGCTTAGTGCCACCATCGGCAATGTGATTCACAGTGGCATTTTGCTCCTTGGCCACCACAAAAAGTCCGTGGGAGGACTCGTCGCTAAAGAGGATCTCGTTGGTATCCCGATCCCCCGAAGAAGAGGCAGCAGCTGCCTTGGAACTCTTTAGAACCACCGAACTATTGCCATTCGAGGCCATGGCCATGCGGGTGAAATTCGCACATTGTCGCATGCAACTGGCGGTGGTGCGACGTGTGAAGTTCTTGGTGCAATTTCGAATGCAAACCGATCTGGGGTCACTGGGCGCCTTCGAAGTACTTTCCACCGCTGCTGATGGGGAAATGGCACTTCTTCCGGTGGTTCCTATCCTCGTACGGAAACCACCTCTATGAAGAGCCGTGCGACGAGCGGCCAGCACATTCTTCAGCCTTCTCTCACGATCCTGAGCCGAATTCAGTGGTGGCGCAATCGAGGGTCGATTGGCACCCGAGGGCCTGTAAGTGGTGGGTTTATCACCAACCGCATCTGTTATAAGCAGAGATGAATGGAAAAATATTTACTTAGAATGGTTGGCATATTTTCAAAGCGGTTTTATGGCTACACATAACGAAATTATTCAATAGATTCAGTAGAGTAAATTAATAGTTTTAATCGAAAGAAAAGACTAACAATGGTTGAAGTTATCTTGAATCTAAGATTTATTATAATCGAGTATTTAAAGCAATTACGATTGCAATCATATGTAAGTAAGTAAGTAAGAAAAACAGAATTCCTTAACAGCATTAAGTTGGCTTAAAAAAAAAACAAATGGTAATTCCTTTGTTATTATTGAAGAAAAGGAATTCAGGAATTTAGTGCTGGATGAAAACCTACTAAATGAAATTAGAAATAGAGAATCAGCTAAAATTCATTCATTCAAATCAATTTCTATGAATAAAAATTAAACATTTAAGCAATGCACTTTAATCTATTCCAAATGTCCAACGATCTAAAATATCATGTAAATATTTATAACTAATACAGAAAATTTTGTTTATTTTATTCTGATTTTGCAACGATTTAATTAAATCAAAATAATGTTTATGTGCAAACCGTTTATGCAATGCTAATCAATTTCAGTTATGCATGGAACAGGCATCTAGAATAATTTAAAATATTTTTCTTGAATTGCATTAAGCGTTTAAATCGAGATATCATTTTTTTCGTGATTATATCGACCCCGTTTCCTTATCAGTTTTCATTGCAGTGTAGGTTGTGTTGCCTGGCTGTGGCATTCTTGACGCCAGATCGTGACAAATATTGGAAAAACAAATCTCGAAATGGAAATTAAATGCGACTAAGGCAGGCGGCGAGCACGAAACCCGTTTGGAATGCGAACTTTGCCTAGGGTAAGGCCGCCTCATCATAGCCATCATCGTTTTGCGGTATTAACAAACAGACGAATGAACATCTTGAACATCTTGAGAAACGAGGCTGCTCTTTGGGCCATTAATCAGTTGGCCAAAACAGCCAGCAAGCCAACTGGTTCACCGATATATCTGCTGCATTTTCGCTCCAACTTGTTAATTAACTAAATAGCCTCGGAGCTATGCTATCTATGCTTCTATGTTCTATGTGCCTCCGGCCAGGCAGCTGGTCATTAAAGCCAAAATTGAGCAATGGGCCTAAATCCGCGGGCCTGCTTTTGCTTTTGACCCGCGGAATCAAACGGGCAAAACAATTACAAGCGGCGGCTGCTTGCACAATTGTTTAATTTTCGCGTTGCCAAAATGGTAAGTAGGCAAAGCAAAAGCAAAACAATGCCAGCAAACAAACAGCCGGGCTTTTCACAAACATTTAGTTCATTGGCTGCTTAGTTTAGGCCAAGGTTGTGGGCTTCTCAAGCGCGGCAAGGCGGCTAGAACAAGTTGTTGCTGCCGCAGATGAGATGCCGCCGCTGCCACTGCCGCTTCCACTGCCGCCGGCTGCCGCATTTTGGCCACTTTGGATTCGACTTGGCCCCCCAAACAATTTGTCTTTGTTTTGGCCAAGTCGTTTCTCGTTTTCTCGCTCTGCGTTTTCCACTATTCGGTTTGCAGTTCTGCCGGATTGTACAACACTGTACTGTGCTCTGTGCAACCCATTTGGGCGTCTCGTCACGTCGCTCTGCGAAGCAAAAGCGATGCCTTCAATGAAACGACAAGCTGCCGTCCGCTGCCATTTTGGCCACCAGTCGCAGTCACAGACAGCGAATCGGATCGGCTGCGCCTATCATTCGGTCTATATACTGCCACAAGGTGGATTAACTATGGGGTCTGGAATGGAGAAGCCATATTTTAAGATAGCAAGAAATTTTGACTCAGGAATTATTTATTTTGTAGTTCCCGACTAAAAACTCCCAAAAAAATATCCTAGTATTTTATGATCAACTAATAATGGTGTTAAATATTTTATCTTTATTTATAAAATACGTTTTCGATCACTGCTTTGAAATTGTTTTGTTAGAAAGGTTTTTAAGTTTAAGCAAAAGCTATTACTTTTCAAATTTTCGAATTCGGAAAATCTATTGTACAAAATGTAACAACAATAACAAAATCGAAGTATTAACTATGATTTGAATTTTTCTAAATTAATTTTGTAAAATAAATCGCAATATTTATTACAATAATTGCTAAATATGCAAACCTATCAAAGCATTTTATGACATGCGATTTAAATAAATATAATTAGCAAGACGTAGGTAGTTTAAATATATTTTTAATTCTTTTTTATTTACTTAAAATAATTTCTGTTGAAATAATTTCTAAAAATGGAAAAAATGATTTCGTGTTGTTTGTTCTTTTTATAAGATAGCTAACATTATTTAAATTATTTAGGTGTTTTCCGCCTCTGGAAAGGGTGTTCCCCTAGGCACTGGCTTCCTTTCAATCCCACAACTTTATGGTATTGGGAACTACGGCCTGGCCATTTCTTATGGCTTATGGCTTATTGCTTGGCCTGTGCGACTTCTTGGCATTAGCTATGCTGCCGTTGCCGTCGTGGCCATCGACGCCACCGCCGCTTGGCATGCGTTGTGGAATTTTAATTTGATTTTGGTCATATACACGATCTTTTCGGCTGCGACAGTGAGCCAAGTTGAGCCAAGCGGACCAAAACCAATGGCCAACTAACCCAAGACGGGCATCAGAAACGGTTCTCCACTCAGAAATGTTTTTTTCTTCTATTTTTGGAGCTCCGACAATTGGCAAATTGGTATTGCGACCTGCCAGAAATCAACTGCGAAATGGGTTGTTTTGGGGGAATTCTAAGCTGGCTGTTTACCTAACTTCCAGCGAGCTGCTTACATAATGCCCGAAAATTGTGCAGCATTTTGGCAGGTGATTAATCTTCATCGCCAGCGGAGAACAAAGCAGCCATCAAACGGATGCGACGGCGTGACTAATGCCCAGCATTAGCTTCTACATTTTTGCGAAATTCGCCATCGAACTCTGGCCCCCCGAAAGCCAAAACAAAAAACAATGGAGAAGACCCCGCCCGGTTCGACTGGCGATTCTGGTCGAAAAAAGCCAAGTTTATTTGGCAGCTAATGAGTCTTCACTGTTTGCCGCACAAAGCCCATCAAGGTTGATCCCACTCCATTCCCTCCCCTTCCCCGACCAATAATTGCACAGATGCTACCCAAAGCCACAATAAATGTGGATATAAGTACACCTTAAAAAATCCTAATACTTGAAATTATATTAATATAGATCGAGATCAAACAGAAACTTTCCTTTGAAAGGTAAAAATGTCTATAATTAATCGGTAAAAATATTAAAGTTACATTTTTAGGTTTTAAAATTTGTTGTTTTCAGTTCCAAATTTCATTATTTCTCGCAGTTTATCAAGTACATTTGAGTTGGAAAAACACAAAACTAAACTATAGATAGGCAGTTTGAGTGGGGGATGGCGATATTAGCGCTTGAATGAATCGCATGTCTTGGCTTTTGTTTAGAACTTTTAATTAAAAATAAATTACCGACACGAGTGGGCAGCGGCTGACAGACAGCTGACTTTGCAGTTTGTTTTTATTATTATTTCTTGTATTCATTGCTAATTGACAAACGAACAAGTAAAATAACACACAGACACCACAGAAAACTTGGAAAACTCATACAGATACTCAATCGCTCACGCAATGCAGTTCATCGTGCTGACAGCTGTGTTTGATTCGATTGTCTAAACTTATTTAATGGTGTCACATTCGGAATTATGAAATACCATTCAATGAGCGGAAAATTCATAATCACATAGGTACGAACGAGTGACACAAATGTCAATCATACGCAACGTTGCACAGGCCGCCAAAGCCAAATTACAGCCCAGCCAAATTGACAAAAAATTTGGAAATTTCCGACCAAACGCAGCCATGACACATAGACCGAATATTTAAGAATAATGAACATAAGTTCGGTTATGATGTGTCATTAAACGTGAAATGAATATTCATAATTCATGAATCAAGTTATTCTAAACATATTAAAAAATGTAGAACGCACCTTTTTAATATTGACAAATAAAATATAAATTTAAAAAATGCATAAAATATCATTTAGAACCCCTATTAAGAAATACTGACACTATTACAAAATAAATATATTTCGGCTTTCGATACAAATATAATAAATAATTACTTAAGGTATTGTATTAAATGTGAATTATTATTGTTATGCTTTAGACTCAGCGGAAATAGTTTTTGAAGGGAATTAATTATAACTGACTTTACTAATTATTACTTTTTATTACTCAATGTGTCGAATTCGGTAATAAAAATAAATGTAATTTGTAGAATGAAGGTTAATTGAATAATGCCATTGAAAGGTTATTAATAAATGAATTGTAATTTAATTCCTTAAGAGAGGTTGAAAAAAAACTTTGAGAATGAAGAATCTAATATCTTAAATTGGCTAACATATGATTCGCAATTTTCCAAGAATTAATAAATATATATACTTGTTAATCAAATGTCTTAAACGTTCGCCTAAAATAATATTTATTAATCTCTCTTTCCATATTTATTCACGCCAACGTGTTCGTCTGAAGAGACTTACACTTTCTGACCTTGACTCATCGCTTTCTGAATCATTTTATTTAATTTCCTGGACAGCGAAAGAAAGCCAAATCGAAATGAGCAGATGCAAATCCAAACTGAAAACTTTCATTAATTCACTGGCACTAATTCACGCGTCGCAACTTCACTTTTGCTTTCTGGTTTTCAGCCTCTGCTATTTGTGTTTGTTTTTGTTTTTTGTGCTCAACTTGTTGCATTCGAGAAACCTACACAAAGGCACTCATAACCGCTCACACCGATACGACAGTCGACGTTCGGTTCATAAATACACATTTTAAATGCCGCCTTGGCAGAAACCAAAAAAAAACTTTCTCCGCTTTCGTTGCAATTTTTTCTTGCCGCTCTGTCTCTGTAATTTTTCCCAGCTTTTTTCCTCGCTTCTTTCGCTTTCGTTTGCAGCGTGCAGTATTTGCTGCACCCTATCCTGTCCCACGTT